TTGCTTGAAAAGCTAGAAGTGTTCAGCCTATCTGGCTGCCAGTTGACTTTGCCCAATGTACTTGCATGTGCATATGAAGTCATACACACAATTTAACGTGACGGGCAACGGCAAAGCAGCCTTTGTCGGTTTTACTGAAGGGCTACTATTAGGGCTTAAGGGGAAGAGTTGCTGTCTTTCACTTTTTTTCTATGGTACAGCGCACGGATCGCTTGATTGTATTCGAAACGTCATCATCCTTTCCGGCTAAGGATAAAACTATGGGCTTTTTAGAAGTGAATGTCTCATCAATGTTGGCTCTAGAGAATTGAACAAATTCCGAATAAAGCGTGCAGAATAGCCACGGCTGTTTTGATGCAGGCCAGCTCTGCAGTTAACGTCTATTAAGGGCAAATTTTCTTTGCTCGTTGAAAGAAAGTATGCGCAAGTTTTTTTTCGCTTAAATTGCTACAAAACTCAGGAATTACAGGTACCGCCCTTTCCACGAATTTCATGGAAAACCGAGTGCAATATTGAACCAGTGTCATGTCTAAGAATGGCGATGTCTAGTAAGGTAGCTTGCTGTGCTGTTCTGTTTCCATTTAGTATTTAATAGTCGGATGTAGGGTATTCCTAAAAGTGACGAAGTGATCATTGTTTTCCTTAGAATCAACAATCCACAATATTTCGTCCACAAACATTGTACACAATTTTGCCATATTAAGTCTAGGCGACGCCATTTCTTCTGGATGACACATAAAACATCCACGGCTGGAGGCCTTGGAGAGCCAAAGACTGCAAAACCATTGAAGGAGTACAATGACGCGCAACAAAATTAGTACGAGGGCAACGAAACCTCCCTTATGAGACCCGCTTGGTAAATCTTGACTTGTTTCCTCTGGAATACAGGCAGCTACGTGGGGACCTAATCCAGGCATTTCGCATGCTGCGTGGTCAGGAATGTTGTCTCGAAACAAACAACTTCTTTGAGCAGGCCACCACATCTAGGCTGCGAGGACACCCTCTTTAATAACGTGTGGCTGGGGAATGACTTGACCAAAGAAAATTTTTTTTTCTCAAAGCGGGTAATGCAGGCATGGAATGCCCTTCTGCGGACATCATTAAGACAAAGCTTGACCAGCACCATCTTACATGGCAACTGAGTTCTCCGAAATCGAGCACTGAAATGCTACAAATATGTACTAACAGTAATTTTTAAGTAGCATTACTATTGTTTGATCAAAACATGTTTTGCCTAT